TCTCAGTTCTTCCAGAAAGAGTTAAGGCTGATTCTTTCAATCCCTGAACAGTTACGAGTTCTGAAGCTTACAGTATCACAAGGAAACATTTTATCCTCTGGTTGGCAGGCTTTGACTAGTGGGGTTAGGTGCTTACAATCTGTATCAATTATGGGGACCAAATTAATATTTCTAAGTTTTCTAATGAGCTAAAACTAGGTGAAAATGTGAGTGGTAGGGACAGTGGAAAGAAATTTCAGAAAGGGCTTTGGTGGGCGGAGTGAGTGGGCAAGACCACAGTAGATAATGTGGATAAGTTTGAGGTTTTCCATTATGCACTTCCATTCCTCTTCCCAGAGTATTTCTTCAACTGTTAAGAGTTTGAACATCAGCATTTTCCATAGGGACCTGAGTGTACTTGTATGTTATTTGCTGAAAGCTAGTGTGCAGTTAGGACATTGTTGATCTTGTTACAAGACGTGAGCACAGCATTAAAGAAGTCTTTCAATCGTATAGAACTTTGAGACATTCAACTGAAGCATTGTGTACAGTTTTGGTCCCATACCTAAGGATGGATATATTTGCTGTGGAGTGAGTGTAGAAGAGGTTCTTTGAGGAGACGCCCTGTATTTTCTAGATTTGAAAAGCATGAGAGTTAATTTCATTGTTACTTACTTGATAAGCTAGATTTGGGTGGATACAGAAATTATATTGCCCAGACTGAGGGTTTTAGAACATTAGTCTTAGAATAAGGGCAAGACATTTTGGAGAAATGAGGAATTTCTTATCAGAGTTTAGGTTGATAGAATTTGATAGTGATATCAATGGAGATGATCTAAATGGCAAAACTGCTGGAGCTGCACTTATGTTGAAGCAGACAATTGGAGCAAGAGTTGGTCATTTGGCCCATTGAGCCTGCTCTGCCATTCAGTATGATCTCTCTATTTCAAAGCTTATACACCTGTTCTACCCCCTACCTTTTGATGCTTTTGAGTATCTACAAATCTGTCTGTTTAATTCTTAAATATATTCTGTGATTTGGCCTCCAGTATCTTATGTGATAGAGAATTCCACAGCTTCACTGCCCTCTGAATTAAAAGATTTCTCCTCATTTCAATCCTAAACAGTCTGTTCCTTACCCTGAGATTGTGGCCCCTTGCTCCAGGCAACCAGGAGGAACTTTCAAGGTCCTAACGAAAATTTGTAGTTTGTGTTGTGGGTGTAATTGTTTAGCTCGCCGAGCTGGTTGTTCTCTGGTGTGTAGATGTTTTGTTACCCTTCTAGGCAACATCATCAGTGTGACCTCTAATCAAAGGGTTGATGTTCTGCTTCCTTCAGGATTTATACGATCCTCTAGTGTGATGGCCTTGTCACTTCTGGTTCTGTTGTTTTAGCAGCGGTCTGTATACAGGGTCTATTTCTGTGTTTGTTAATGAAGTCCCGTGTTGAAAACCAGGCTTCCAGAAATTGCATGTATGGTGTTCGCTTGTCCTAGTATGGTCACTTTGTACAAGTCGAACTGATGGCCCTCATCACAGACAATGAGGGCCAACAGAACTGGAAGCAACAAGCCCTTCACACCAGAATATCATATAAATTCGGAAGGAAGCAGAACACCAATGCTTTGATTAGAGGTCGCACTGATGTTGTCTAGCAGGGTAACGAAACGTCTGCACACCGGAGAACAACAGGTTCGGCGAACTAACAAACGCCTGCAACTTGGAGGAACCTCGGCCCTTCATACAGTCTGACCAGCCCTGTCAGAACTTCATATGTTTACGAAGTGATTCTTAATCCAGGCATTGATTGTGGAAGACTGTTGAGCATGCATGCGCATTAGTTGATGTCCTGATTCTGAGCCTGATGTCATAATACTGGTTTCACTTATTGATATCATTTTGTCTGTTCTCAGAGAAAGAGAGAGAGTGAAAGTGAAAGTGATGAACCTGCAGTCTCCTCCGCCCCAACAACACCAAAATTGGTACCAGAGCTGAGCCAGAAAGACAAAAAGAAGAAGAAAAAAGAGAAAAAGCAAAAGTTATTACAAGAAACAGAGGTAAGTTCATATAATGTGCTGGCTCTCAAGGGAGGGAGATCACACCTTGTGTATTCTGCTGACCGAACTTGAATTAATAAACTTGACTCTGTGTTTGGGAGAAACATCAATAGCCTTGTATTCACACTTGGTAATACTTATGACTCTGTTGGCAAATGACCTAAAATAGAATTCCCCCACCCCTGACCACCGCACAGGGTTTTTAACCATGGCTAGTCCATTTGTCCTGCACAGACTTGGACACTGGAGCATTTTTAGCATGGCCAGTCCACCTAACCTGCACGTCTTTGGACTGGGGGAGGAAACCCATGCAGATGCAGGGAGAATGCCTAAACTCCAATCGGACAGTCAACCAAGGCTGGAATTAACCCCGGGTTCCTGGCAATGAGGCAGCAGTGCTAACCACTGTGCTACCGTGCCACCCATCGTTATAGAAGTTATAGTTCTGTAATGGACTTTTCATGTTTCTTCAATTATGTGGAAATTAATTTGGTAAATATTTCTAAGATTTGAGTGATTGTAAGCAGGATTACTTTTATTTGCAATGTTTTTCTGGATCTCTAGTTTTAGAAATAATGTATGAAGACATTGATGTCTTCAATCCAGTGATTGTAGTTTTATTGCAGGCAGTTGCTTTCCTCACTGGTTTCGGTAAATTCCTAAACTTGGGTACATTAAACTGGAACTCTACTGATTTTTCACATTGAACGCTACATGTGTACTTTCAGGTTACATATACAGGTCTTTTATTTGATACAGGTTAAACCTGAAAGTGATGAGCCAGAACCTACCTTGCTGACTACGAAGAAGGAGAAGAAAAAAAAGAAAAAAGAGTTAGAAATTGGAGAATCTGGGACTAGGGTAAGTGCTGCAAGTAGCCCTTGGTAACGATTATTCTCATAGGTTTACTTGTGTTATTATGAAACAACTGAATATGTATGACTTGAGGTACAGTAATGTTCAACAGTTGGGATGTCATACTGTTTTTGTACTTTTGTTTCATAAATAGGTATGCTTTTTGTGGGTAGGAGTGGCTATTGCTGTCATTGAGTTGTATTCTGAAGTTGCTCCATTTCTTCTCCATATAGTGGGAATCAAACTTTCTTCTCTGTGAATGTGGCTTGTGTCATATTAAGGTCTTTGCCTGAAATCTGAATACTACAGCTGATTTTGCTAGTTTCTGTGATTGGCTATTTATTTGGCATAAGAAATAGTAGTCCCCTAAATACCTCCAAGCAGTTACATTGCTAAATAAAATGGCTGCAAACATCAGTATATTAATAAACAAATAATGTAATTGATCTTCCACAGAATGCTGAAAGTTCGAAAAAGAAGAAAAAGAGAAAGGAAAAGGCTGAATCAGGCGACTGATGGAGTGGCTCAAAACATCTGTGTTCGACAACTAGAGGGAGGAATGTTCAACCGTGATAGAATTTGATGCAAAAGCACCACTTTCATTTTGAACCGTTGATCAGAGACATTGAAGTTGACTTGTGTTGGAATCACACTTGTGCAATCTGTATTACCAGGTTTTTGCTCCCACACTATCCTGTTATGAAGATAGTATTCAAGGGGTATTCATAAATGGTTTATCATGTTCATAGTTAGCCTCCAGGAACGGTGCATTGCACTGATTTTGTTTTTAAAAGTATTCATAGCAGAAAACCAGTTGTTTTGCAGGTTGTCAGCAATTAATATAAAGCTAGCGTTGCCTCATTGTTACAAATATCGTATATGATGTTGATCCCTTTCTGCAAGGGACACATACAATATTGGTAGTAATGGAAATAGAGATTGTGTGAAGCAACTCTGCGTTGGATAAAATACTTGCCTCATGTCTGATGTCACTTACAGACCAGGGCTATAGTTGCCCTTGTGACAGCTTTCAGTTACAAAACTTGTAGTTGGGTGGAAACCTGTTTGCAAAATATATCATGTGGGTTGACATGACAATTGCCATGCTCTGAATTGGCCCGTGTTGCTTTCCTAACTCTTGTTAGTTGTCGGAGATAACAAGGTGCAGAGCTGGATGAACACAGCGGGCCAAGCAGCATCAGAGGAGCAG